TACCATTGGAGCCAGCCACTGCCCACCCCTGTGACTCCTGGCTATCAGAACTGGGGGCCGGGGGTGGGGGGCAGAGAGGCGGCCAGCTGGGTGGGACCGTTGCTCAACCCAGAGTGGCAGAGCTGGTCTGGGTGGCAGCCGGGAGCTCCGCTTTTGAGGGGGGAATGGAGGGGTTTTTGTCAGCAGCTTCCAGGGTGGCAGCTGCTGAGCCCTCCCTGGCGAGAACCATTCAGGGGGAGGCAAATAGGAATGTGGGCATAGTGCCAGGCCCCGCAGCCTCCCTCCAGTGCTGGAGAAAAGTGCTGAGCTCCCAGCCTGGGCGATTTGCTACCAGTCCTACCGAGTGGAATGGACCTCACCGGGCAGGCCCCATGGTGGGCTCTCAGCCCAGCCTCCCTTGGCCCTGCGAGCTTGAGACTATGGAACACCCCATGGACCCAGGAAGAAGAGAGAGGCAGGGAGGAGGGAAACTTGCAGCTGTTGGACTCGTGCTGTCTGCAGCTGTATGACCCTGGGCTGGTCCCTGCCCACTCTGGACCCCAATTTCTCTGCATCATATGATGTGGGTGAACCAGGCAATCTGGATGAATATTGCGGGCTGACCTCTCTTTGCCTAGATCCTTTGAGCCACCTGCAACCTCTATTCCAGCTCAGGGAAAGGGCCGATGGATGGGGGGGTGCTCGTTTCCAGCCTTCTTAGAACAACTCTTTCCTGTGCTGGCTGTCATCACCCCCACAGTAGCATTCCTCAGGAAGGAATGCAGGGGGCCAGGAGAGCACGCCAAGTTCCACGCACCCCCCACAGTGAGCCTCTGCCTTTCTACCCCCAGAGTGCTGGGTCTTTGAATCAGGCCTGGAAGGAGAGAAGCTGGAGTGACCCCTGGGGCCCCCTGCTTCCAGGCCAAGCCCCACAAGCCTTCCCTTTCAGCCCTGTGCCAGCAGGACTGGCACCAGTGGGCGAAGTTGGGGTACTTCTTTTTTCTTTTTCTTTTTCTTTTTCTTTTTTTCCTAGAACAAGGTCTCACCAAGTTGCCCAGGCTGGTCTCCAACCCCTGGACTCAGGCAGTCCTCTCACATCAGCCTCCCAAAGTGCTGGGATTACAGGCTACCGCATCCAACTGCCAGGGTATTTTTTATCACGATTCCCAGTCATCACCATTTGTATATTACATGTGTGAAGTACTTAGCATAGTCACTGACACACAGAAACTTCTTGATATAACAACTGCTATTACTATTACAATGAAATTAATGGGTCGTAAGTACCTACTATAGCCAGACATTTTATATCCATAATCTCATTTGCTCTAATAATTTTTTTTTTTAAATCAGGGTTTCACTGTGTCACCCAGACTAAGTGCAGTGGCACGATCATGGCTTACCTCAGCCTTGACCTCTTGGGCTCGGGCAATCCTTTCGCCCTAGCCTCCCAAATAACTGAGACTATAGGCACATGCCCCCATGTCCTACTAATTTTTTTAAAACACTTTTTGTAGAGACAAGGTCTCGCTATGTTGCCCAGGCTGGTCTTGAACTCCTGGGCCCAAGCGATCCTTCTGCCTCGGCCTCCCTAAGTCCTGGGATTATACGTGTGAGCCACCTCGCCTGGCCTTGTTTACTCTAGTAATCCTAAAGGTAGGTTATTAACAATAATAACTGGTTATTACTATTACAGTGAGCATGTATGAAGTGCTTACTTTGGGCCAAGGTCTGTGTAGATGGGAAATCGAGGGTCATAGAGGCAGGCGACTTGACCAGGATCACCCTGCCTGCAGGTGGCAGAGCTGGGGTTTGGGCCCAGGACAGTCTCAGAGAGTTGTTGTAAGCACACGCCTTCAAGGCCGTCTTCAATCAGGTTAAGCCCCAAACCTGGCTGATCCCTACCTCGGACCTTATCAGAATCCAGGGCACACTGCAGCTGCCTACTCCCGGGCGTCTCGTGGGAACAGCCCCTCCAAGTTTGCATCTGGGGGGCCCCACCTTCTGCCCCGGCATCTGGCCTCACAACAGCCCTCTGTCACCTCCCCTCCTTGGTGGTTGACTGGCTGGCACTGCGGCCAGCCTCTGCATTGCCCCCTTAGGGGCCAGAGGCTGCCCAGGATGGAGCCCAGCCCAGTAATTGATTGACCCTTGATTGATGCAGGCAGCGGTTCAAACCGCGGTTTGAGCTGTTGCCCAGCCAGGCCAGGGAGCTGCCAGAGACAGAGGGGAGCAGAGCCCAAGTTCCCGCCCAAGTTTGGACACTTTATCTGCACTTCCTCTGAAGCTGAGCTGCCCTTGGCTTTGGGAGAAACCCGCCAGTTGAGCAGTAGACAGAGCAGCTGGGGCCCTGGGAGCGGCAGGTGGGATGGTAGAGAGGGTGGGGCTGGGACCACAGGGCCAGGGTCTGAGCCCCCCGACCTGCTGGTGATGGGGGCCAGTGCCCTTCCCAATCCTCCTCCTTTCCCAGTCTGGACCCGCCAGCACTGCTGAGGGCAGGGGCTATAGAGGAACTTGCCTGGCCTGTGGTGGCGCCTAGTAAGGGTAGTTAATTCTCAGAGCGGCAGTAGCTGCATTGATGGTGCTTGTACCAGGCACTCTGCTGGGTGCTTGACATAGATGAGCTCAGTCAGGTCCTCAGCGTGACCCTGGGGGCGAGGCACTGTGACATCGGGGTCTTTGAACCTGGGTACCGTTGGCATTTGGGGACAGAGAGTTCTTGGGCCTCTCCTATGCACTGTACGGTGTCCAGCCACATTCCTGGCTTCTGCCAACTAGAGATGCATGCCAGTAGCGCCCTCCTCCCCAGGTGTGACATCCAAAAACAGCTCCAGACATGGCCAGATGTTCCCTGGGGGCACACACACCCCCTTCCCCACTTGACCACTGCTGCATTTTGCAGACAAGGTACCGGGGCAGTCTGGCTCCAGAGCCCTGGCATGTCATGACTGACCACCATCAGAGCCCAGGTTCAGAGAGTGGCAGGTTTTCCTTTCCTGGGGGGCTCTGAGCAGGGGTCCATGCGACTCGCATCAGATCCCCCCACGAGGCTGCTCTGCACAGGGCCGCAGCTGTGCAGTGGTCACCCAGCCCCCCACCAGCTGACTCCAGAGATGGAGGGAGGGGCGAGGCTGGGTTGGGCAGCTTCGGCCGCTGGACCTCCGAGTCCCACAGCCTCTCCCACCCCAACAGTGGCCCTGTCCGTAGAGACCAGCTGGCCCATCTACCCCAGCCCAGGGTTCACCCCGCGGTGGGGACCCTGTGTTCCTCCAGGGCTCCCAGACCCATCTTTCCTATGCTGTGTCCCTTCCAAACACTGACTCACTTGCTCGTGAACTATTTATACCCCTGGCACCAATGTTCCCCTCGGCACTCCAGGCAGACAGACGGCCGTGTTCTGTGGCAGCCCCAGGACAAAGGGAGGGACTGGGCCTGCAGCACATGTGCAGGTAGAAACTCACAGGCCTGGGTGGAAGCCCAGCTCCATCCTTACTGCTGTGTGAGCCCAGGCAGGTCACTACCCCGCTTGGAGCGTCTGTTGTAAAATAGGTTATTATGAGGATTCAGTAAAATGAAGTTCCCAGCACAAAGACAGATTGCATAAGTGGTTGCTCTCAGATGTTCAAAGTCCACCAGACTAGAGACAGCAGAGAGACTGGGAGCTGGGAGACAGCGCAGGGATGAGGTGTGCATTCACATGGGAGCTCAGGCCAGGGTGGAGCGTTCTGGAACTCAGCCCCCTACCCCCGTGTGGCTGTACCCACACTGTCACCCAGCCAGCTGGAGGCCTTGGGACTGCACGAGGCTTCTTTCGGTGCAGAAGAGCCGGTTTTACCAACCCTGAGCTCACTCTACCACCTCTACCCGCCTCCTCACCAGCTGTTCCAGGAGGCAGGCAGGGCAGGTGCTTGGTTAGCTGATAAGAGGGCCTGGCCAGGCTGTGCACACAATGCCCTCGGCCCCCAGTCTACATGGCACTTCCCCAGCATTTGGACTCTGACCCTCACCCTACCCCTGCCTCTGTCAGGCTGTCAGAGGTCGGGGAAAAAAAGCATTTCAATGCGCAGGGCTGAGGCACCCATACTACCTGATCACGGCTGCTGCTACTCCCTGCAAGCACCCTGTTCCCTGAACGCGCCCAGCCTCTACCTGTGACCTCTGGCCCTGTCTTCTGCCTCCCTCCTCAATCGTTCTCTCAGCAAAGGCAGAGACCCAGTCTCCGGTGTCCCTTCATTCATTCATGAATTTTGTGAGCACCTACTATGTGCTTTTAACTCAGTAACTGGCATACGCTGGGGGAGTGAGATAGACCTCCCCCCTAGTCCAGCGGGTACTGAGTAAGAAGAGCCAGCGATGGCATGAGCAGAGGCCGCCTGCCATCTCCACTCACAGCTCTGCTCCAGAGCTGCTCAGCTGGGAGTGATTTTGCCTCCAGGGGACATTTGGCAATGTCCGGGAGCCATTTTTGGCTGTCACCGCTCAGGAGGGATGCTGCCATCAGCATCCTCCACTGCACGGGATGGTCCCTGACAGCAAGGAGTTGTCCTTTCCAGATTTGCTATAGTCTGAGAGAGAAACCCTGCCCTTGCCTGCAAGGCTCTGCTACCTCGGGGGAAGGGGGGAGCATGTCCCTGCAGTGCTGGTGAAATGCCAGTTAGCCACTTAGGGGTGGTCGGTGAGTGCCAACCCAGTCCACACCCCAAGGTACTTTCAACTCCTCACCAAACTTCACGTTCGGTACAGGGAGGCTGTGGGTTCAGCTTCCTTGTGCCCCAGACTCATCCAAAAGTTAGCACCGTTCAGCATGTAGGAGGCTGCCAGGCCATGTGAGGAGTTCCCTGTCAACAGAAGTAACCAAGTAGGAGCTGAGCCATATCGCTTCCAGCTGTTGCAGGATGACATGGCTGGTGGGAGGTGCCTGCTGAGCCCTGGGTACCTGGCACACAGGCTCGTGGTCTCTGACCAGTCAGGCACAAGGTGTGCCAGGATGTCCTTAGGCGTCTCTCTCTGCACCCACAGGTACGATGCTGGACGGGACGGCTTCATTGACCTGATGGAGCTGAAACTGATGATGGAGAAGCTGGGGGCCCCCCAGACCCACCTGGGCCTGAAGAACATGATCAAGGAGGTGGATGAGGACTTTGACAGCAAGCTCAGCTTCCGGGAGGCAAGCCCCGCCCCAGCCCCGCTCTCCAGTGTGATGGCACCTAGTGGCCAGGGAGTGATGAACACCCACCAACCCCACTCCCCCCTACTCCACTTACTCCACTCTCCCCCCAATGACCCCACTCCCCAGCAGGGGCTGCACCTGAGCACCTGGTGGCCCAGGAGACCAACCCCACCCCTTCATCATAGAATGATATTGTCATTGAACCGCCAGCTGTGCATGGCCAAGAGAGGCCTCCGAGGGCCCCTAGAGCAGGTGGAGATGGGGGTGAGGGGAGGAGATGGGGGAGAGACATCCATTCCTTCAGGGAGGGCACACACATCGAGTGATTTCTGTATAACCAGCCCTGCATGGGCTCTGGGGTACAGAAAAAGACCCTGTGCTCCAAGGACCCTGGAGCGTAGATGGGGAGACACCCAAAAGGAAAACGCCACGGTGCCGAGATTCGGGGGGGGGCAAGCATGGCTGGACCTTCACACTCGGGATCTCACTTGGAGACAGGAGCTGCTTTATGGGGGGAAGCGGGCTCCAGGTCAGACAGCAGCGGACTGGCCCAGGCAGCAGAGGCTTGGGGGCCCGGCTGAGGCAGGCCTGGGAGAGACAGCAGGCAGCGTGGAGGAGGCGGGGCGCCAGGGGTAGAGGAAGGGGAGGGGGTGGGGGGTGGGGGCGGGGAGGTGGCTGGGGCAGAGCAGAGTCATGGTTGGGAGGAGGACACGGGTGCATAGTCTGCCTCACTTTCTGGCACTGAGACTTCAGCAAATCCTTTACTGTCTCTGAGCCTTATTCTGTAAAATGGGCACAGTCGTACCTTCAGGGCCCCTTGAATGGGACGCCAAGCAGATTCTTGTGGGGACAGCAATCAGGGGTCGGCGGAAGCCGTGTCATCGGGAACCCTGAGTGGATGGAGCAGGGCTACAGTGACCCGGGATCCTGAGTGGGCACCTGCCCTTCCATCGGACAGATGGGCAAACACAGGCCCAGAGAGGGAGGGCGAGGCCCAGGAGCTGCCTGGGGCTGGGGTCTGGGCCTGGCCGGGTCTTTGGCCCCTTTCCTGACACGAAGTGCTCCTTCCCGCCGCAGTTCCTCCTGATCTTCCGCAAGGCGGCGGCCGGCGAGCTACAGGAGGACAGCGGGCTATGCGTGCTGGCCCGCCTCTCTGAGATCGATGTCTCCACTGAGGGTGTCAAGGGCGCCAAGAGCTTCTTCGAGGCCAAGGTGAGGAACCCAAGCGGTGCCCTGACCCCAGCTCGAGGGTTAACACCTCATCTTCTGTCCCTGCTGAGGCCACACACAGAGATGGGGAATAGATGCCCTGCTGGACTGGCCGAGGACCACGGGCTCTTGGCTGTCCCTTTCCCGTTCTAGGCTGTGATCCTTCCCGGCTGTCAGAGTGGGTGACGGCTGTGTATTCTTGAAGAGGAAACAGGGACATCTTTTTTTTTATTTAGGGTCTCACTCTGTCACCCTGGCTGGAGTGTAATGGCACGATCGCCACAGCTCACCACAGCATGGACCTCCTGAGCTCAGGCGATCCTTCCATTCCAGCCTCCTCTTCTCTTGGAGAGATGAGGTCTCACTGTGTTGCCCAGGCTGGTCTCGAACTCCTGGGCCCAAGTTCCTGGGCCCAAAGTTCTGGGAGCCACTGTGCCCAGCCAAGACAGGGACAGGGACATCTTGAGCTGCCTCAGCCCTGGCTTATGGAGCTGCTACCCCCAAAGGACTGGGCCTTAGGAGGGGAGGCCTGGGAGGCAGTAGCGCAGACCCAGAAGCATGGCATCGGCTGTATGTGTCCTCTCGGAAACACTATCCCTGCCAGCCCCAGCCTGGAGGAAGCTTGAGGGCCCAGAGGCTACTGCAGGCCAGCACCCTCGCCTTTCTGTACACACTTAGATGCAGGGGACAAGCGTGGTCTCATGACTCCTGGGTCCTGCCTGCCCAGGAGCCCGGGGCACTTGCCTTATTTCCCCCTCTTTCCATGTGAAGCTCAGAACGTTCCTTCCAGAGGACGCCTGCCGCCTCCCGCCTCTCTTGGGGCTTCCGTGCATTGATAGGACATTTCAGAGTTCATCTTGGAACCCGGGGGGCACAGACGGGCTCCCCCAACTGGAAGCGGGGGGGCGGCCACAGCCTTGGAACTCCACTCACAGGACCCTTGCTCTGCCCCAGCCCTGAGGCATCCTGAGGTCAGAGTTAGTGGGTGCCGGGCTATAAATGAGAAACTGAGGCTCAGACAGGTTCATAGCGTGCCTGGCCCAGGTCAGGCTGTGTGTGTTGCCAGCTGAAGCCTGAGCGCAGGGAACACGACCAGAGCCCAGAAACCACCCCCAGCCCTGACCCTTCGCCCTGCATGCCCCTGCAGGTCCAGGCCATCAACGTGTCCAGCCGCTTCGAGGAGGAGATCAAAGCAGAGCAGGAAGAAAGGAAGAAGCAAGCCGAGGAGATGAAGCAGCGGAAAGCGGCCTTCAAGGAGCTGCAGTCCACCTTCAAGTAGCGCAGGCTGCGGCCGACTGCCCTGCCCCGGCACCCAGTCCAGCGGGCGAGCTGGGCGAGGGCGGGTGTGTGGGAGGCTGAGCCTGATCCTCCACCTCTGTCTGATGGGACCACGACGACACATCTAAAACTGTCTGTGAATGGAGCAGGTCGAAGGGTCTCGTGGAGGTGGCCTGGCCGCTCCCTGCTTCCTGCCACCGCTCTGAGGCCGCGACACCAACGCTGGCTCCCCGCCCGGCCCAGCCCCCGTGACCCCTGCG